TACTCAGCTGAATATTTGAGAGGGACTGTGTCTTGGGTGTAATTTTAATTTCTCTGTAGAGTTTTCTCCTCTGGTGATCTGACCTGCAAACCAAGTTGCTTTCGTACCTCTGTAGATTCCCAGTTTTCCTCTCCCTAATTCCGGAAACTGCCGGGCTTCCTCTGCATTCCCTGTCTTCTCTTTTTTGTGCTCTGTAAAGTCTTTTCAGTTAGTAAACTGAGACAATTTGTAAAGCTCACCTAGTTTGCATCCTATCCCTCAGTTAATGAGTTTCGTTTGTCATCTGCTGTCCAATGCATTGAAAACCATTATATGTATATTTTGTCTGTTTTGTTGTTTTAGGCAGGTGGGCAACTATGGTCTCTGTTATTTCAACTTGATTGAAAGCAGGTCTCCATATAAGAATTTGAAATAGGGCGATGCCTATGGCTTAAAGGGGTAGGGCAGTGGCCCCATATACCGGAGGTGGTGGGTTCAAACCCAGCCCTGGCGAAAAACTGAAAAAAAAAAAAAAGAATTTGAAATAGTTCCTTCAGGCTTGGCGCCTGTGGCTCAAGCGGCTAAGGCACCAGCCACATACACCTAAGGTGGCGGGTTCGAATCCCCAGCCCAGCCCGCCAAACAACAATGATGGCTGCAGCCAAAAATGGCCAGGCGTTGTGGCGGGCGCCTGTAGTCCCAGCTACTTGGGAGGCAGAGGCAGGAGACTCGCTTGAGCCCAGGAGTTGGAGGTTGCTGTGAGCTGTGATGCCGTGGCACTCTACCCAGGGGGATAGCTTGAGGCTCCGTCTCAAAAAAAAAAAAAAAAAGAAATAGTTCCTTCAAATTCTTATCATAGTTCCTAAAACATATTTTGGGTGGTAGTGATAGGAAATGATGATCAGAATTGGTTATCAAAAATGAACCCAGTGAATCTTGAGTGATGATCCCAAGAGTTATTCTAGAGCCTAAGAAGGAATCATAGACTAAAGGTTAAGAACCCCAAACTAGTTAAGTAAGTATTCTTTAGTGGGAACAGTATTAGAGCAGAGCGCCTTTGCCTTACTTACCCTTTGAAGGCAGGCATGTGCAGGATTAAACTATACCTTCTACATTTGCGCAGTGACACTACTGGTTTCTGCAGGGAGAGAGGTTGGGCTTGCTGCTTCTCTCCATAGTCTACAGCAGCAGGCACCTGCCACCTAAAGGTATATCAGATTTGATTAATTATTATTACCATAGCAGAATATCTCTCTGGCTTTAGGACTCTAACACTGCCCTCGATGGAGAAGAACTTGTTACTAAATTGCCAGAAGGGTTTTCTTTTTCTTTTTTTTTGAGACAGAGCCTCAAGCTTTCCCCCTGGGTAGAGTGCCGTGGCATCACAGCTCACAGCAACCTCCAACTCCTGTGCTCAAGTGAGTCTCCTGCCTCAGCCTCCCAAGTAGCTGGGACTACAGGTGCCCGCCACAACACCTGGCTATTTTTTGGTTGCAGCCATCATTGTTGTTTGGCGGGCCTGGGCTGGGTTCGAACCCGCCACCTTAGGTGTATGTGGCTGGCGTCTTAGCCACTTGAGCCACAGGCGCCGAGCTGCCAGAAGGGTTTTCTGTGGTAATGTGGCTTGTTTTGGAAAAGTTGGACCTGATACCTTTAAGGCTTCTTCTTTTCTACAGTGACTGAGTTCAGTACTTTCTTGGTTATTTTGTTGGTGACACATGCATAAAAGCATCAGGTGCTTTCAACAGTGTCATGTATGGGATTACTTTAAAATTCTGCGTTTGGCTCTTTTTTTTTTTTTTTGAGACAGAGCTTCAAGCTGTCACCCTGGGTAGAAGTGCTGTGGCATCACAGCTCACAGCAACCTCCAACTCCTGGGCTCAAGCAAGTCTCCTGCCTCAGCCTCCCAAGTAGCTGGGACCACAGGTGTCTGCCACAACGCGTGGCTATTTTTTTGGTTGCAGCTGTCATTGTTGTTTGGCGGGCCGGGCTAGATTTGAACCTGCCACCTTAGGTGTATGTGGCTGGCGCCTTAGCCACTTGAGCTACAGGCACTGAGCCGTGTGTAGCTCTTTATTCTATGTAAAAATAAATAACTGTTGGTAACTTGGCACAAAATTTTTATCATGTCAGGAGTATTTACTACGTGTCAAGCCTATTGTACCCTGGTTAGAGGTATGGAATGTGAAATGAGGGAGGTAATAGTCTCAATACGTCCTGTACCATCTAAAGCAGTGGCTCTCAAACTTTTTAGGCTCAAATGCATTTATATCTTAAAAATTTGGGGGAAACTGAAGAGTTTCTATTTATGTGGATTATATCTGTTGATACTATGTGATGAGTTTAAACCGATGATTTATGTATTTGTTTACTTATTTAATTTATTTTCTGCTACACAGTCTTCTGTTGTCCTGGGTACAGTGCCATGGTATCTTCATAGCTCACAGCAGCCTCAAACTGTTAGGCTCAGGCAATGGTCTTGCCTCAGGCTCCTGAGTAGCAGGGCCCGTAGGTGCTTACCTTGACACTTGGCTAGTTTTTCCATTTTTGGCAGAGGTGGGGTTTCTCTCCTCCTGAGGGTGGTCTTGAACTCTTTTTTTTTTTGGTCTTGAACTCTTGAGCTTAAGTGATCCTCCTGGCCTGGCCTCCTGGAGTGCTAGGATTATAAGTATGAACCCTGATGCTTTAGATACTTAATAAGGCACAATGATAAACTTATTACATGTTAAGTAATATTTTTCTGAAAATATTTTTCTTTCTTTTTTTTTTTTTTGAGATGGAGCCTCAAGCTATCCCTCTGGGTAGAGTGCCATGGCATCACAGCTCATAGCAACCTCCAATTCCTGGGCTCAAGCGAGTCTCCTGCCTCAGCCTCCCAAGTAGCTGGGACTACAGGCACCCGCCACAACGCCTGGCCATTTTTTGGTTGCAGCCATCATTGTTGTTTGGCGGGCCCGGGCTGGGGATTCGAACCCACCACCTTAGGTGTATATGGCTGGCGCCTTAGCCGCTTGAGCCACAGGCGCTGAGCCTGAAAATATTTTTCAACAAAATATTGCAATAAGAAGTCACCAGCTATGGTGGCTTATGCCTATAGTCATAGCACTTTAGGAGGCTGAGGTGGGTGGATTGCCTGAGCGCAGGAGTTTGAGACCAGCCCGAGCAAAACTGAGACCACATCTCTAGAAAATAATAGCTGGGGCCAGGCACAGTGGCTCACACCTGTAATCCTAGCACTCTGGGAGGTCAAGAAGGGTAGATTGCCTGAGCTCATGAGTTTCAGACCAGCCTGAGCTAGAGCAAGACCCCCGTCTCTAAAAATAGCTGGACGCTATGGCAGGGGCCTGTAGTCCCAACTATTTGGGAGGCTGAGGCAAGAGGACCACTTGAGCCCAAGAGTTAGAAGTTGCTGTGAGCTGTGATTTCATGGCACTCTACTGAAGGTGACAAAGTCAAACTCTGTCTTAAAAAAAAGTAAACACGGTTTGGCACCTGTAGCTCAGCGGCTAGGGTACCAGCTACATACACGGGAGCTGGCAGGTTCGAATCCAGCCTGGGCCAACTACAACCAAAAAATAGCCGGACGTTGTAGCAGGTGTGTGTAGTCCCAGCTACAAGAGGCTGAGGCAAGAGATTCTCTTAAGCCTGAGAGTTTAAGGTTGCTGTGAGCTGTGATGCCACAGCACTCTACGGAGGGCGGCATAGTGAAATTCTGTCTCAAAAAAAAAATTAAAAAAATAAATACAATTAAATTAAAAAAAAGTTAGGTCTCTAAAAGGAACAGTAGGTAGTTCCAGCTACTTGGGAGGCTGAGGCAAGAGGATTGCTTGAGCACTAGAGTTTGAGGTTGCTATGAGCTGTGACTCCACAGTACTTTACTGAGGGCAACAAAGTGAGACTCTGTCTCAGAAAAAAGGAAAAATCATTGAGAAAACTGGCATTGTTTTACATTTTGCAAATCTCTTTATTGTATAAAATGTAACTGAGTGTCTAATATTTGAAATAAAGAAAAAAAGGAAAATATGCCAGTGAGCTTGGTGAACATTCTCTCTAAATAAGCCTCATGGGACATCAGAAACAACCAGCAGTTTGCCTTGTAGACTCAGAACCAGAACAGTCAGTTGTGCGTTTTCCAGTAGGAATACTCCTGCTGTAGCAATTGGCTCTTGGCCAGGGATTACCATTCAAGTAATAGGTACTCAGTAAGTGCTGCATGATCAATTTAATCTCTAAAGATTTGGGGTTGGTTGAACTATTGATATTGTGCCCCTGTATTGTATACTTCAAGGAATAAACTTGAGTTGTGTGAAGTACATTTAGCTCAAGATGGTTAAACTAGGCTACTTCCCTGAATCTGGGGTATGAAAAAGGAAGATGCTGTTTGTAGTTCTTCTCAGAGTTTAAATTGTTCTGTATCAGTGATGTTACTAGTGTAAATTAATTTATGAGTTTATGGTAATAACATGGTTTCATAACTGGCATACCATTGAAAATGTCATTAGCAATAGTTAGCACTTTAGTGACTACTTAAGTTATCAATTAAAATTTGATATCTCTGTCATAAGATATCAAGTGTTCATCATTACTCTGGAAGAAGTCAAATTTAATCAAAATATTAAAACACTTTGATAGCATAGTAGACAATTGATAGGATGAAGTCGTATAGTCTACTAAGGTATAAAATAAAAGATATAAAATAAATTTATTAACATTTGTTTCTTTTCTTTCTTTCTTTTTTTTTTTTTTTTTTGAGACAGTTTTACTTTGTCACCCTCAGTAGGGTGCTGTAGCGTCACAGCTCAGAGCAACCTCTAGCTCTTGGGCTTAGGCAATTCTCTCTGTCTGCCTAAGCCTCCTGAGCAACTGGGACTACAGGAGCCCATGGGACAACACCTGGGTATTTTTTTGTTGCAGTTTGGCCGGGGCTGGGTTTGAACCCACCACCCTTGGTATATGGGGCCGGCACCCTACTCACTGGACCACAGGCGCTGCCCTAACATTTGTTTCTTTTCTTGCCTTAGTTATCTTCAACTGTTCTGAAGCGCGAGACCTGTAAACCACTGTAGATATGGACAAAGAGGAAAGGAAGACTATTAACCAGGGTCAAGAAGATGAAATGGTAAGTGGCTTTCCTTGTTTACTGAGAAGTGTGAAGCATTTATTTCTGCAATTTATTCTTTGAGGGAGTAGAAGAGTACAATTACAGAACACCCCCAGCTCTAACTCAGTGACTTTTTCTCAGCCTGTGTTTTTGGATTGGGGTTATGTAATATCTCTTTCTTGGTTTAGAATAAGTTTTTTTTCACATATGGACTCCTAAAATTTAGGACCAGTATGTTTTTACATTTGATGATATTTAAGAGGTTATGTTAGCTAATAATTAAATATAATCCCAAATAAAAATTTGTTAATCATTTATACAAAATTCCAGAAATCAGCTTAATAAAAAAAAAAAAAAACTTCTTTGCTTTTTGTGAGAGGGAAGCCAAAGCCAGAGATATGTCAGGTAAAATCTAAGATGTCCTGTGAAATGTAAAGTCACATAATCAAGAAATAATTTTTTTTTTTTTTTTTGCAGTTTTTGGCCAGGGCTGGGTTTGAACCCACCACTTCCGGGTATATGGGGCTGGCGCCCTACTCCTTGAGCCACAGGCACTGCCCCCAAGGAATAAATTTTTAGTTTAAGTATATCCTGTATTTTGCATGGAACAAATAAATTATTAGTTGTTTATTTGAAATTTAAGTTTAACGAGGCTCCCTACATTTTCATTTCTAAAATTTGGCAATCATTGTTGTGGTGAGGTGGAAAGTAACTTGAAAGATTTAAGTAATTTGGGTCACTGGGTCAAGTTCATCAATCACAGTGATATTGAGATAATTAGCAAATCACTTAGAAAAAACATTAAACTCTATCTCATCTAAATGTAGTGTGATATGGCTTCATGCATGTAGTTTAGTAAGTAGGGTGCCAGCCACAGACACCAAAGTTGACGGGGTCAAGCCCAACCTGAGCCTGCTAAACAGCAGTGACAACTACAACAAAAAAAATAGCTGGGTGTTGTGGATGCCTGTAGTTCCAGCTCCTTGGGAGGCTGAGGCAAGAGAATTGCTTAAGCCTAAGAGTTTGAGGTTGCTGTGAGCTGTGACACTATGGCACTCTACTGAGGGTAGCACAGTAAGACTCTGTCTCAAAAAAAGAAAATAAAAAAATAAATAAATGCAGTGTGATATTTTATATCCTGGAACAAAAAGAAGACATTAATGAAAAAACTGGTGAAATCCTAAGACTGAATTTAGTTAATAGCAGTGTAGTAGTGTTGACCTTTTAAATTTGACAACCGTACCAAAATGTTGGCATTAGGGGAGACTAGACAAAGGATGTACAGGTACTCGGTAATATTTTTGTGTCTTTACTATAAGCCTCAGATTATTCTAAAATTAAATAATTATTTAAAAAACCCTACTTCATTACAAAATAAATGCTGGAGGAATTAAAAGTATGTAAAAATTAAATTTTAAAAGTTCTAGAAAAATGTACTAAATATGATACACTATGTCAGTGGAAAAGAACTAAGCATAATATTAAATATAAAACCATAAAATATAACTATGACAATGAAGTCAAAAACAAAATTTAAAGGTAAATTATGGACTGGTAAATATTTACAGTATATGTGACAAGACAGTAGTAATCACCTAGAACTTTGGAATTTATCTGCTGTATCATTTAATAATTAATCATGTGATCACTGTCCATGCAGGAGATTTATGGCTACAATTTGAGTCGATGGAAGCTTGCCGTGGTTTCATTAGGAGTGATCTGCACTGGTGGGTTCCTCCTCCTCCTTCTCTATTGGATGCCCGAGTGGCGGGTGAAAGCAACCTGTATTAGAGCTGCAGTTAAGGACTGTGAAGTGGTGCTACTGAGGACTACTGTAAGTCCATGGATTTACTTGTAGCTGGTCATTTGGAGAGCAGAACGTCTTTGTGAATACTTTTGTTCAGAATAATGTATGGAGGGTGAACATTGCTGTCAGGATATAATGCGAGTGCCAGTTTTTGTATTTTGAAAATGTTTCTATTTGAAGTGAATATTATTACAGTAGAGTTTCAAGCAGTGTTTTTCAACCTTTTTTCTTTCAGCACACTTGAATGTATAGTTAAACTTCATGGCACACTTAAATTATGTTGATCAAAAGAATAAAAAAAAGAATATACTTACTGTACTTTGAATCTTTTTCTTTTTGTGGAGACAGAGTATCATTTTGTCACACTTGGTAGAGTGCCATCATGTCATAGCTCACAGCAGCCTCCAGCTTTTGATCTCAAGCAATTCTCTTGCCTCAGCCTCCCTAGTAGCTGGGACTATAGGTGACCACTTAACCACTCCTGTCTGTTTTTAGAGATGGAGTCTCAACTCTTACTCAGGCTGGTCTTGAACTTGTGAGCTTAGGCAATCCACGTGCCCTGGCCTCCCATAGTGCTAGGATTATAGGCATGAGCTACTTTGCCTGGCCCCTTTTTATTTTTATTTTTATTTTTTGCAGTTTTTTGGCTGGGGCTGGGTTTGAACCCACCACCTCTGGTATATGGGGCCGGCGCCCTACTTCTTGAACCACAGGCACCACCCAACCTAGCCCCTTTTTAAAAGTTTTTGAGGCACACCTTAGTTCCTCTTACAGCATACCAGTGTTGAAAATCACTGATTGAAAGGATCAGATCCATCTCCTTCCCTTTATAGCTCTTGATAATGCCCTGAGAGATTGGATACTCGTCTGTTTAAGGTTCTGGCCCTTTACACCTATAATCAAGATCTCTCATTCACTAGACCAACTTCTAGACAAGCTGCTGCATCTTAGGTGGTTTTTTTTTTTAAAATTCTAATTGGAAGCATTTTATAAGAGGTTTTCATATCTAGTGTCAGCCTATAGACAAGTAATTCCTTAATTTACTCATGATCTTTTATGGAATATTGATGTTTGGTAAAATATGTCATAAAAATTGTGAGTAGTGGAAAGCACATCATGTTTGAATTTCAACATCTTTATGAAAAAGTTTAATAATTTAGTAAGAAATGATTCTTTCTCAGCTAGAGGTGAGTAAATAATAGTATGTAAAGAATGGAAATAAAATAAAAATAGAATGTTATATAATATACATAATTGACTCACTACTTCTCTCCTTTTTTTCTCTTCTAAGGATGAATTTAGAGTGTGGTTTTGTGCAAAGATTCGCTTACTTTCTCTGGAAACTCACCCATTTTTGAGTACGAAATCTATAGTTAAGGTTTCAAATGGCCATGCAGTTCACTTAATTGAGAATCCAGCTGAAGAGAGTAGGCATGAGTTGAATAAATATTCACAGACTCAGTCACAACAGGTATTGTGATTTAGTGTCAAAATTATTTCATTTTATGATATCAAGTATAGCTTATAATTTTGTTTGTGGTTACTGCGTGAGAAATTTACATGCATATGAAATACTTAAAATACAGCTTAAGAGTTAATAGAAATAAAAGATTATGTGTTGTAAACTATCGTATGTTTTTTGATGTAACATCTATGTATTTTCTACAGATTCGTTATTTCACCCACCATAGTGTAAAATATTTCTGGAATGAAACCATTCACAATTTTGATTTCTTAAAGTAAGTATCTTTCTTTTGTTTGGGTTATATTATAAATGACCTGAGAATATTTTAGGTAGAAAAGAATTTATTCTAATTTTACATAAAATCAAAGAGGTTTTCATTTCATAACTTCTGTTCACTTACTGACAATTCCCTGATGTTATCTGAAGGCTCATTAACCATTTAAAAATAAATCTTGAGATGCAACTTGTATCATGGCAAAATTTATATAAAAATTATATAATCAGTATGTCAACATTCTTGAGTTTGAATTCTTTTCAGTTTCACCTCAAAGTGAATTTTTGTTTTTAATTCAGATAGAGTCTCACTATGTTGCCCTGGGTAGAGTGCTGTGGTGTCACAGCTCACAGCAACCTCAAACTCCTGGGCTTAAGCGATTCTCTTGCCTCAGCCTCCCGAGTAGCTGGGACTATAGGCACCCACCCCGATGCCCAGTTGTCATTGTTTAGCTGGCCTGGGCTGGGTTCAAATCCACTAGCCTAGGGGTATGTGGCTGGTGCCCTACCCAGTGAGCTATGAGCGCCACCCTCAAAGTGAATTTTGAGTATAGCTTATAACCTATATTTTAACATAGAGTATCTGAATTATCACCTTTTAATTTTCTGAGAGTTATACCTAGTTGCACTTGATGGAGTAATAGACAAATAGAAGTTCAATTTTAATAGTAGATAATGAATGGGACATTGTTAGATGTGTGAACCCTTTGGTTAGGACAAAGTGTAGTAATCCTTTTTTTTTTTTTTTTTTTTTTTTTTGAGACAAGAGTGTCAAGCTGTCACCTTGGGTAGAGTGCTGTGACATCACAACTCGTAGCCATCTCCAAGTCTTGGGCTTAAGTGATTATCTTGCCTCAGCCTCCCAAGTAGCTGAGACTACAGGCGATTGCCACAATGCCCAGCTGGGTTTTTTTTGTTTGTTTGTTTATGGGGGGTTATAGTTGTCATCATTGTTGTTTGGTGGGCCCAGGCTCGATTCGAACCCACCAGCTCCAGTGTATGTGGCTAGCACTCTGGCAGATTGAGTTATAGACATTGAGCCTGTAGTAATCCTTAAAATTTATGTTATATGTTGGCTCAGTGACCTTAGAACAGTGGCTACGGTGGCAGCCACATACACTGAAGGTGGTGGGTTAGAATCTGGCCCAGGCCAGCTAAACAAGTGCAAGAAAAAAAAAATAGCCAGACATTGTGGTGGGCGCCTATAGTCCCAGCTACTTGGGAGGCTGAGGCAAGAGAATCGTGTACGCCTAAACATTTGAGGTTGCTGTAAGCTGTGACGCTAGGCATTCTACGAAGGTGACATAGTGAGACTCTGTCTCAAAAAAAAAAAAAAAAAAAAAAAATTATGGTGTGGAGCCTGTGGCTCAAAGGAGTAGGGCGCCAGCCCCATATGCCAGAGGTGGCAGGTTCAAACCCAGCCCCTGCCAAAAACTGCAAGGAAAAAAAAATTATGTGGGGGGTTCAAGTTATATATGTACTAAATTTAATTAGTACTTATATTGCTATTGTTAAAATGATTATTATAGGGACGGATGCTGTGGCTCATGCCTGTAATCCTAGCACGTTGGAGGCTAAGGTGGGTAGATTGCATGAGCTCACAGGTTTGAGACCAGTTTGAGCCAGAGCGAGACCTTGTCTCTAAAAATAGTCAGGCATTGTGGTGGGAGCCTGTAGTCCCAGCTGCTTGGGAGGCTGAGGCAAGAGAATCGCTTATGTCCAGGAGTTTGAGGTTGCTGTGAACTCTGATGCCACAGTACTCTAAACAGGGTGACAAAGTGAGACTCTGTTTAAAAAAAAAAAAATTATTATAAACCTAAATGCCATTGCTTGAGAATGCCAAAGAAATTCTTACTTACAGCAGTAAATAAAAAGAATCATGTTATGGACATTTAAAATATTCATGCCTAAATCTTTCCTCAGACACACTAAAGAATTAGAACATTCTGGAATGGGCCTGGGCATTTCCACATGCCAAATTCTAAAGATAATTCCTGATTAAGAACCATTGCCTTAGAGAAAACTGCCAATGAGCTACCGTCTTGTTAAAATTTTTTTGACTTGGCACTGGTTCCTGCTGCCTTCTGGAGAAGTCATCAATCTCAGTGAGAAGAAATGTCAAACATATTCCCTATGTGGCTTTTACTAGCCATAGAAACTTACAAGATTTAAACTTACGCCAATGATAGCACTGAATTATGAAGCTTACCTTCATATCTGAAAAAAGGGTAAAAGGATTGTAATTAAGTATTTGTAAGATTCTCTTTGCTTTACATTTCAATAATTGGTATTTTGGTTAAGCATAATTAAGACATTTTTGGATAAAGTAGATACGCTAGTTGAATCCCAGTTAGAATTATTAAAGATTTTAGGCATTTTCTATGACTTACAAATTCTATACTTCTGACCTAGATGTGCCTTAGTTTGTGGAAAGATTTAGATTGGTGCTTTCATGGAGAAAATAGGATTTCATGGTTTGAATCAAAAACTGAAAAGGAGAAAGAAACTATAGATAAATAAAAAGTAAAACATCTCATTTTTAGTTTGGACTTATCAAGTTAGTTTTACCTTAAATTTTTTTAATTATTGGGTTCTATGCCTCTGGATAGCCTTAAAAGATAATGATTTAAAAATTGAGTATTTAGAGCCATGTTATTATGTGATAATACATTAGATAACCCAGAGGTTGAGTTTGGGACTTAGACTTTTCATTATTGTTTATCTTGAGATTTTTAAATTCTTATTCGTTATGTCTAAATTTCTGTTAAAGGTTTCTAAGAAATTTGTAAGGAAGTCACACTTTAAAATCAGATACATAGAAAAATGAGGCATTAAGAAATTTGGATATTTTCAACATTGTTTAAAGTAAAAACTTTGGATTTATTTAGGGGACTGGATGAAGGTGTTTCTTGTACGTCAATTTATGAAAAGCATAGTGCAGGACTGACAAAGGGGATGCATGCCTACAGGTAATTTTTATCCAACTAAGGTTAGATCTATTCTCAAGATTCCTAAAATCACTATTCCCCACCCTTTGCCATACAGTTGTACATATTAATAGATATTTAAATGTTACAGACGTAGAAGTTGAGAATGCATTTAATATTTGGGTAAGACTGTCTCAGTTTTAAAAATTATAAAAATGTTCAGGCTCATAATTTGAACTTGATATTCCTGAAATTTATATAGTATTTGATCAATTCTAAGGTGCACATTTTTCCGCATTTTAATATCTCTGACATTGGCATGTGTCATACAGTTGGTGGAGTGTTATTTACTTGACAGCATTTTTATCTTTCTTGATTATACATAAAGTAATGGAATATCTTAAAATTGACAGCATCTTAGATTTTCTGAAATATAACGTTGAGGATTGTAAGCATGAACTCAAATTTACCACAATGAAAACTTGTAAATTGGGAGACATCTTTTTCGTTGTATTCTCTGTCAAAACATAAAAATATACCAGTGTTTTGCCTGTTTTAAAGATAAATGCCATTTTGAAGTTAAATTAGAAATTCATTTTGTGTAACACATTTTTTCAAAGGGTCAGAACACAAAACACTCATTCAGCCTTATACTTCATAAAAGGCAAGAATTAGTGTATCATATAGAAATTACTATTAAAAGAAATCAGTGGAAGGATTTATTTATTTATTTTTCCCAGCATAAAGTTGGTATTTAACAGTGGAAGGATTTAAACAACTTTTTAAAAGCATTTATTTAAAAGTCCAGTGCAGTGTTTTAAAACAAACACTCTTAGAATAATATGCTTATTTAGGGCTCAGCGCCTGTAGCTCAGTGGCTAGGGCACCAGCCACATCCACCAGAGCTGGCAGATTCGAATCCAACCTGGACCAACTACAACCAAAAAATAGCCAGGTGTTGTGGCAGGCGCCTGTAGTCCCAGCTACTTGGGTGGCTGAAGCAAGATAATCAGTTAAGCCCAAAAGGTTGAGGTTGCTGTGAGCTGTGACGCTATGGCACTCTACTAAGGGCAGCATAGTAAGACTGTCTCAAAAAAAAAAAAAAAAAAAAAAGAAGAAGAAGAAAATATGCTTATTTAGAAAAATAATATAAGACCCCTCAGATTTATTTGGTTTCTTGCAAGAATTAATTGTAATTTAAAATCATTAAGAAAGTATTTTCAAGGCTGGAGAAGAGAATCTTTTTGGTTATAGACTAGTGGGAAAGATAATTGTCACATATAAAGATGTAAGACAAAATGAAAGAAAATACTAACAATATAGTTGGCTAGTATTGACTTTTTTGATTTAAACATCATGGGTAGAGAGTTTGAATTGTAGAATTGTTTAGAAACATAAATTTAAGAGTGGTCCATGGTTGGAGCCTTAGCTGATGTAATGCCTTCCCTAAATTATGCTATAATTATATAATATAACGTAATACTATCACTATATTTTCCTGTTGTAGAAAATTGCTTTATGGAGTAAATGAAATTACTGTGAAAGTGCCTTCTGTTTTTAAACTTCTAATTAAAGAGGTAAGACTGTTAAAATATAACTTAACAGTTGTGATCAATAGATTTATCACTTTGGAGTCATTATTAAATAAGATATTCTGGGTTTTCTGTTTTCTAATTTCTCTTTACTTGTTATTTTACTTGAGAAGTAAAGGCAGTGAAGGAATTTAGCATGGATTTTTAAACTATTTTTGTCTAATTTTGCTTTTATTCAATGTTGACTTTTTTTTTTTCTTACTTTGTTGCCCTTGGTAGAGTGCCGTGGTATCACAGCTCACAGCAACTTCCAGCTCTTGGGCCCAGGTGATTCTCTTGCCACAGCCTCCCGGGTAGATGAGACTATAGATGCCTGCCACAACACCTGGCTTTTTTTTTGTTGTTGTTGTTGTTGCTGCAGTTTGGCCGGGGCCAGGTTCAAACCCAGCACCCTCAGTTTATGGGGCTGGCGCCCTACTTACTGAGCCACAGGCATCGCCCCATGTTGACTGTTTTTTACTTTCAAGAAATTGTAGGCCTGGTGCAGTGGCTCACACCTATAATCCCTACACACTGGGAGGCTGAGGAGGGTGGATTGCTTGAGCTTAGAGGTTCAAGACCAGCCTGAGCAAGAGCAAGACACTGTCTCCAGAATAGCTGGGCATGGTGGTAGGCGCCTGTAGTCCCAGCTGCTTGGGAAGCTGAGGCAAGAGAATCACTTCAGCCCAAGAGTTTGAAGTTGCTGTGAGCTATGATGGTACGTCACGCACAGGGGAACGGAGTGAGACTCTGTCTCAAAAAAAGAAGAAGAAATCATACATTTATTTAATTTGTTCTTATAGATATATGCACCTGGGTTTTTTTTTTCTTATTTTTAAAAAATCAGTTCATTATATTTTCTTTTTTACAAGGTATTTCGTGATACACTATTGGAGACGAGGCATTTTTCCAGCTTAGTATTTAAAAACATGATGATCCACCTCAAGGAACTTACATTGTAGTCTAGGAGGAAAAAATGTCAGTAGTTATTGTAGGGACTGGACTGTTCAGTTGTAGGTGCCATACAGAGGTGTGCCTAAAGGATTATGGGCATGTAAAAGAAGGGAGTAAGTGACTTTGCTTAGCAGTTAGGCTTGCCAGTTCTTTGTTCTGGTTTTTGTATTAGAGTTAGTTGTATTGGGTGAATAGTAGAAATAACAAATGTTTTCCATCTTTTCCTAAGAGTAGTCGTATAATCTTGCTTGTTTATTAACATAGCATAGTGTAGGAATTGGAAAAACTGATTAGTAATATATTTCCATTGGTAGCTAACTGGTCTTTTTTTTTTTTTTTTTTTTTTTTTTTTTTTTCTCGAGACAGAGCCTCAAGCTGTCCCCCTGGGTAGAGTGCCATGGCATCACAGCTCACAGCAACCTCCAACTCCTGGGCTCAAGCGAGTCTCCTGCCTCCGCCTCCCAAGTAGCTGGGACCACAGGCGCCCGCCACAACGCCCGGCCGTTTTTTGGTTGCAGCCGTCATTGTTGTTTGGCGGGTCCGGGCTGGGGATTCGAACCCGCCACCCTAGGTGTACGTGGCTGGCGCCTTAGCCGGTTGAGCTATAGGCGCCGAGCCAGCTAATTGGTCTTTAGTAAACCTTTTTCTCTAGTTATCTCTTACTAAAGAGAAATTAGTAAGTTTTTTTAATTATCTCATTGAGGTAAAAATGAGACTATATATGTGTATATATGAAAGTGTTTTGAAAATTACAGAATCAGGCTTGGTGCCTGTGGCTCTAGTGGCTAGGGCACCAACCACATACACCTAAGGTGGTGGGTTCGAATCCAGCCCGGGCCTGCCAAACAACAATGACGGCTGCAACCAAAAAATAGCCAGATATTGTGGCAGGCACCTGTGGTCCCAGCTACTTGGGAGGCTGAGGCAGAAGACTCGCTTGAGCCCAGGAGTTGAAGGTTGCTGTGAGCTGTGATGCCCCGGCACTCTACCCAGGGGGACAGCTTGAGGCTCTGTCTCAAAAAAAAAAAGAAAGAAAATTACAGAAACAGTAGTTTTAAGACATTGGGAGGTTATTCACGAAATTGATAAAATATCCTGACATTTGGATAAACGAAGTTCAATGTCCCTTATCTCTTTTTCATTTAGAGCTTAATACTTTATGATTTTCTTAGCGAAAGCAAAACAATATAATCCATTAACTCTTATTTATCTTCCCTTTGGACTTCAGTGAACTTTACATAAAAGTAAATTTGTGTTTGCATTTATGATAAGTAAACATTTATTCTATTTAATTAAATGTTTGGCATGACTCAGTGCCTGGAGCTCAGCAGCTAGGGTGCCAGCCACATGCACTGGAGCTGGTGGGTTCGAATCCAGCCCAGGCCTGCCAAACAACAATCACAACTACAACCAAAAAAAAAAAGCTGGGTGTTGTGGCGGGCACCTATAGTCCCAGCTACTTGGGAGGCTGAGGCAAGAGAATCGCTTGAGCCTAAGAGTTGGAAGTTGCTGTGAGCTATGATGCTACAGCACTCTACTCAGGACAACAGCTTGAGACTGTCTCAAAAAAAAAAAAAAATAAATGTTTTGCATATTACTATCCCAGAACACAGTAATTATTGGAAATGTACTTAATGACTAAAGCAGAATGCGTAGCACCTAAATTCCTATATTTTAGTCTTTTCTAGAATCTATATTTGGGTGGTATGAATCTAAATAGGTGCCAATAATTTAAATTAAGCTTAATTTAGTCAAATTCTAGTAGTTTAATGATAAACAGAAATATGATTACATTTGTCCTACTCTTTAGGATGGTATATATGTTGCCATTGGGTACTATATAATTTATTCCATAAGTATCTTTTTGGTTACTTGTCAAATGAAAAGGTGTAGAATATGGTTCTATCTCATTTAATTTGACTTAAAAATCTTGTTTTCTAGGTTCTCAACCCATTTTACATTTTCCAGCTGTTCAGTGTTATACTGTGGTGCACAGATGAATACTATTACTATGCTCTAGCCATTGTGATTATGTCCATAGTATCGATTGTAAGCTCACTATATTCTATTAGAAAAGTAAGTCCGAATTTATTATGGGTTTCACAACTGTATTCGTATTTTATAATGACATGTAAGGTGTGTGTAATAGCTTGGTACAAAGCAGATACTCAGCATAGTTAACCTTGTTGCGTGAACATGCGGTCTTCTCCCCCTACCTTTTTTGTTCGTGTGGGTTTATTTTTGGAGGTTGGGGAGAAAGCAGATGTATTTTAGAGGCAGACTACTGCTAGTCTACTTAGAGGCTATAGGGATCTATCATTGATTATCATAAACTGAAATACTGGATGGCTGGTTCTGCAGTTTCATTGAAGTCTCTGCTTTGTTTTAAGCTAAAACGATGAATAATTTTTGAATCTCTGATTCTTAACATTTTATGAAGATAGTTATATGCATTTATTGTATTAGCTTACCTGAGGGAAGAATGGGCTTGTATTGGCTAGTTTTTAATTTTTCTTTTCTCTTTCAGCAATATGTTATGTTGCATGACATGGTGGCAGCTCACAGTACTGTGAGAGTTTCAGTTTGTAGAGTGAATGAAGGTAAATACTTGAATTGACCACTGGAAGAATAAACCAAAAAAAAAAAAAAAAAAAAGACCCAGTAGACACTGTTGTGTGAAGTTAGCCCAATGTATTCTACATATACCATTATTTTTTAAGAACTAAAAATATGCAATATGTTTTTGGATTCCTGAATTTATATCAAATTCATTCACTTATGTAAAGTTATGGGGGGTTGCTATGTAATAGGTAGTATGCTGGGCTCTGGGGATTCCTCCTAGAGGCAGATGATAAACAGTAACAAGTCTGACAAATACTATGATGGGGAGAGGACAGGGAACTTACAAATTAGAGCTCATTTACTATAGAGATAGGGAATGGCTTCTTTGAAATATTCTTAAGTGGTAACTATTTGATTAGCCAGATAAAAAATAGGTGAGATGTTGGTAAGGGGAGAGGGTGAGTGGGGAGAAGAGGGTTTTAAATGCTCAAAGGCCTGGAAATTAGAGATAATGTAGTCATAGTGAGAAGGGACAGAAATACAGTAAGGCAGATGGAGCAATTAGTTGACAGATGGCCGTATAAGGCAATAAATTTTTTTCATTCTTTTTTTTAATTTCACATTAATATGAGATTACAAACCATAAGGTTATATAATTACACATGACAAGTAAAAATCAGAGTTATAGTTAATGTTTTTTACCTAGGGAATATGCCATATAACCATGCATTAAACCTATTGGGTGAGAAGCTACTGACTCCCCTCCCCTCCTCCTTCCTCCTTGGTAAACAAATTCATTTTGGCTTCCATGTTCAGACTGATTTAGAGAGGAGTAATACTAAAGGCATGGCCTCTTGATCAAAGTAGGAGCTGCAGAGATGAAAAAAAAGTGAGATACGTTTGAAAAATGATTACATATGGGTGTTCAACAGAATTTGCTGAATCATTGGATATGAGATCATGGAGAGGTGTCAGGCTGGGCAGATGGATGTTGGTGCTATTTGATTAGATAGGGAACCCTGAAAGAGAAGGAAGAATGTAAGAAGGATAATGTTTGTCTGATGAGATTTGTTTTCTTTTTCTTTTTTTTTTAAGAGACAGAGTCTTACTATGTTGCCCTTGGTAGAGTGCCATGGCATCACAGCTCGTAGCAACCTCAAACTCTTGGACTTCAGCAATTCTCTTGCCTCAGCCTCCCAAGTAACTGCCTCCATGTGGCACCCGCCACAATACCCGGCTATTTTTTTTTTTTTTTGTTGTTGTTGCAGTTGTTGTTGTTTGGCAGGCCTCAGCTGGGTTCAAACCTGCCAGCCCTGGTGTATGTGGCCAGCACCCTAACCACTGAGTTACAGGCACCAAGCCTGTTTGATGAGATATTGAAGAGGTAAAGGAGAGGCAGTAGCCACTTTGATTTATCCAGAGTATTGCATCATTCTCTATTCCCTTTTTGGGGGGGGCACAGAGTCTCACGTTGTCACCCTTGGTAGAGTGCCGTGGCATCATAGCTTACAGCAGGCATCCTCAAACTATGGCCCAGAGGCCACATGCAGCCTGCCTAGGACATTTATCTGGCCCGCTGGGTGTTATTGCCGCCACTGCCTGTCCTGCTTAGCAGCCGACTCTCCTGGGGCCTGCAGTCTGGCCCTCCAGGGGTCTGAGGGACAGTGAACTGGCCCCCTGTTTAAAAAGTTTGAGGACCTCTAGCTTACAGCAACCTCCAACTTAGGGGCTCAAGCAGTTCTCTTGCCTCAGCCTCCCAAGTAACTGGGACTACAAGCTTCTACTACCATGCCTGGATATTTTTTTTTTTTGAGACAGAGTCTCAAGCTGTCCCCCTGGGTAGAGTGCTGTGGCATCGAAGCTCACAGCAACTTCTAGCTCCTGAGCTCAAGCGAGTCTCCTGCCTCTGCCTCCCAAGTAGGTCCACAGGTACGCGTCTGCCACAACGCCTGGCTATTTTTTGGTTGCAGCCGTCATTGTTTGGCAGGCCAGGCTGGATTTGAACCCTCCACCTTAGGTGTATGTGGCTGGAGCCTTAGCCACTTGAGCCGAGCCACAGGCGCCGAGCCCATGCCTGGATATTTTTAGAGACAGGGGTCTTGCTTTGGCTCAGGGTGGTCTCTAATCCCTGAGCTCAGACAGTCGACCCTCCTCTACCTCCCAGAGTGGTAGGATTCCAGGCGTGAATCACTGCATCCAGCCATTTTCCATCCTCTCAACTCAGTAGACTATATGCAAGTGATTGCGTCCTTCCCCCATGCTTCCTTGCCACTTGCTACTTTAGCTGGAGGATCTTCCTCTTGTAGCTGCAGTCTTGGAGATGTGTGGTTTATTGGCACTTCTCTTCTTGCTCTGCCGGTGCCGAAGATACTGAGGCTGTTTGGACAAACATCATTCAGCTTGTATCCTCCTTGCCTGCTTGGCATAAACTTGCATATTATTAGTATTTTAGTTTTGGGGTACACCTAAAAGGAGTACAGTTTTTTTCTTAATGTGCTTCATTTGGCAAAACGTAATAAAAAAAGGGAGTAGAATTTCAAGTGGCATTACAGCCTTAAGGAAAGTGAAGTTTTAAAATAGGGGCTTTCTTTTTGAAAATGAAGATTAATATACTTACTCAATTATATTGAATACTTTAAAAGTTATTTCCTCATAATTCAGCCAATATTTTAGAAAGGAAAGAATATCTTACATCAGAAAAACAAATGTTTTCTCCTCACTCATCTTCCTTTGCAAACTAGTGTGACTATATTCTGAGCATTATTAACCTGAGATGGGGGTGTGTGTGAGTGGAAGGGCATGAGGGGAAAAGAGAATGGCCTGTGTAGAAGACGATCCTAAAGAAAACCTTTATCCTTAGCACAATCTTCAAAGTGTTTAGCTAACTTACATTTATAAAGAAATAATGAGCTATATAAAATATTACAATGATTATTTAATAAGTTTAGTCATATTTAAATAATCTTCACTGGGTGCTGTGGCTTATGCTTATAATTCTAACCCTCTGGGTCAGGGGAGTGAGGAAGATCCCTCGAGTTCAGAAGATTGAGACCAGCCTGAACAAAGTGAGACACCATCTCTACTAAAAATAGAAAAATTAGCTGGGCATGGTGGCACACCCATGTTGCCCAGCTACTCTTGAGGCTGAGACAATTGTGGCAGATCAGTTGAGTCCCCAGAGTTTGAGGTTGCTGTGAACTAGGCTAAGGCCAAGGCACTCAAGCCTAGGTGATAGATCAAGACAGTCTCAAAACAAAACAAAACAAAACAAAACAAAAAAAAAGACTGATTTATCAATATTGAGAAGGTAGTGAGACTTATAAATAGTGGCAGTGAGAAAAGGAATACTCACTTTCTCGCTGGAGTACTCTCTTTTCTCAGGAATGGGGAAAAATGCTATTGAAAAGAATGTTGAAAGTTTCAATGCTTCTTCCTCTTTACAAGGGACTGTTAAAATCTGAGTTTATTTTACCTGTTTCAGGGGGATCACCTGTATGGATTCATTGCTTCTGTTTCCTGAGATGGTTGATGGCTAAAATTGATCACTGGCAGTTGTCATGAGTGTTGAAACTACACACTTGCTTGGTCAGAGGGTACTTGGTGGCATTACCTGTACTCAGTTGGCATCCCATCAGGAGGCAAACTAGCAGACACACCATGCTTTGCCTAGTGATCTTACTGGTCAAAACTGTCCGTTTGTTGGGATTTTTCTACTTAACCCCATTATATTAATAACTTGTTGAGATCAGGTGACAATTGGATAGATTGTTTGCTGTATTTTTATTTCAAGTTAAAGAATATTCTTTTCAGCCTTTTCTTTCTTTAAATTCAGAAATAGAAGAGATCTTTTCTACAGACCTCGTGCCAGGAGATATCATGGTCATTCCATTAAATGGGACAATCATGCCTTGTGATGCAGTACTTATTAATGGTACCTGCATTGTAAATGAAAGCATGTTAACAGGTAAACTGAACTTAATCAGTAAATATCACACAAAATGTTTGTAATATTAGGATTAAGTAACTAATTAAGCTTTTTCAGAATTAGATATGTCATTTGTTTCTTTACCCATGAATGTGAAGGATTTTGATGGTGTTTGAATTCTGAGTAGACCAAATTCTGCATTATACTCAGCTGTGATAATAAAGCATCGTGCGAGTGTTGGCTATATCTCTTGGCCTGCCTGTGGCCACTCTTTTGACATAGGAAATGGTTTGTAGTAGGGGGAGAGGAAAGAAGTCTTTTGCCCACAGAGAATATAGCATAGAGTATTTTCTTCCCTATTTGATGTGTAAAAAGTGAGAATAAATAAAGATTTTATATTTTTCTTAAAGAGAAGTAAACTTTAAAATGACTTCTCGGCCAAGTGCAATAGTTCACGTCTATACTCCCAGTACTTTGGGAAGCAGAGACAAGAAGATTACTTGAGGTCAGGAGTTCTCGACCAGCCTGGGCAACATAGCCAGACCAAAGAAAAAAGATAGAAAAATTAGCTGGATGTGATGGTAGAGGATTGCTTGAGCCCAGCAGTTTGAGGTTGCATTGAGCTATGATCAGGCCACTGCACTCTAGCCCAGGCAAGAGAGCAAACTCCTATCTCAAAAAAATAAACAAATAAAAAGGGCTGGGTGTGGTGGCTCACACCTGTAATTCCAGCACTCTGGGAAGCTGAGGTGGGCAGATTGCCTGAGCTCACAAGTTCAAGACCAGCCTGAGCCAGAGTGAGACCCCCCATCTTTAAAAGTAGCCGGCTATTGTAGTGGGCACCAAAATTGTTTGAGCCCAGAAGTGTGAGGTTGCTGTGAGTTATGATGCCACAGCACTCTACAAGGGTTGGCAAAGTGAGACTATCTCAAAAAAAACCCCAAATAAACAAACAAAATAGGACGGTAAGATGACATCCCTTTGGTAATTTACATTCTGGAGGTAGAACCAGAATCTTTTTAATCACATGAACTTTTTTTATTAGCCTAGTCAGTGTGAGTAGAAAATGATTTTTTTTTTTCTTGTAGAAACAGAGTCTCACTTTATCGCCCTAGGTAGAGTGCTGTGGTGTCACACAGCTCACAGCAACCTCCAACTCCTGAGCTTAGTCGATTCTCTTGCCTTAGCCTCCCGAGTAGCTGGGACTACCGGCGCCTGCCACAATGCTCGGCTATTTTTTTGTTTGTTTTGTTTTGTTACAATTTGGCCAGGGCCAGGTTTGAACCCCACACCCTCCGTATATGGGGCTGGCACCCTACACACTGAGCCACAGGCACCGCCCTAGAAAGTGATTCTTATATAATGTAATTTGAAACTATTAAGAGACTTGTCTTCAGACATACGCTTATACGTATTCCTATACACTTGCTTTCTTTGAAGCAAGAAGAGTGACTACTACAGAGGATTACAGTTTAAGAAGAATTTGGCTGCTTTTCCATACAACTTACTCTTTCCTTCACTCCTTGCCCAGATGCTTTTTTTCCTTTCTGATTCCCTGCAGGGATTAGGCATACGCCCTCACATCTCTTGTGTAGTTGGGATAACAAGAGTTCTTTCCAGGTGGTTCCTGTGGCTCACTGGTAGGGTGCCGGCCCCACATACGGAGGGTGGCGGGTTCAAACCTGGCCCTGGCCGAACTGCAGCAAAAAAATAGCCGGACACTGTGGCAGGCGCCTGTAGTCCCAGCTACTTGGGAGGCTGAGTCAAGAGAATCGCCTAAGCCCAGGCGTTGGAGGTTGCTGTGAGCTGAGTGACGGCCATAGCACTCTACTGAGGGTGATAAAGTGAGACTCTGTCTCTACCAAAAAAAAAAAAAAAGAAAGAAACAAGAGTGCTTTCCATTTTAGTTACTAGGGATAAGAGCTATGGCAACTATTTATCTTTTGTTGAAATTATTTCAAACTCTACAACACAGTGATTTCTAAATATAAACTGGTATTTTTTAGTCACATCACTATTTGGAATTATAGTGGGAGACAAAACGTTTGGTATTTCTGGGTAAGGAAATTGGTATATTAAAAAACTGATTAAGCCATGTTATCCACATATAGAACTCTTAATAACTGGTAAACATTTAGGATATTTTTTTTTAAACAGTCTCTAACTGTGCCCTGGGTAGAGTGCTGTGGTGTCATAGCTCACAGCAACCTCAAACTCTTGGGCTCAAGCCATTCTCTTGCCTCATCCTCCCAAGTAATTGGGACTACAGGCACCCACCACCATGTCTGGCTATTATTTTTTTGTTGTTGCCATTGTCATTGTTGTTTTAGTTGGCCCAGGCCAGTGCCCCACCCACTGAGCTACGGGCCCTGCCCAACATTTAGGATTTTTTAGGATTTTTTTTTTTTTTTAAGAGACTCACTTTATCGTCCTCCATAGAGTGCCATAGTGTCACAGCTAACAGCAACTTCCAGCTCTTGTGCTTAGGTGATTTTCTTGCCTCAGCCTCTGGAGTAGCTGGGACTACAGGCGCCCATCACAATGCCTGGCTATTTTTTGTTGCAGTTTGGTCGGGGCTGGGTTGAACCCACCACCCTCAGTGTATGGGGCCGGCACCCTACTCACTGAGCCACAGGCGCCACCTAACATTTAGGATTTAACACTTAAGATTTTTCTTGTGTTTGATACTGCTTTCATTTAATAATTTATGGCTTTTTTTTTTTTTTTAAGGAGAAAGTGTTCCAGTGACAAAGACCAATTTGCCAAATCCTTCAGTAGACATAAAAGGAATGGGAGATGAATTATATAATCCAGAAACACATAAACGACACACTTTGTTTTGTGGTACGACTGTTATTCAGACACGTTTCTACACCGGAGAACTTGTCAAAGCCATAGTAGTTAGAACAGGTAGAAAACATTTTATTTAATCTTTTGCGTATTTGATACTTACTGATTATTTAAAAAGAGATTCTGAAGAAGTAATTTTCTTCTTTAATTTTTTGAAAGGATTTAGTACTTCCAAAGGACAGCTTGTTCGTTCCATATTATATCCCAAACCAACTGACTTTAAACTCTACAGAGATGCCTACTTGTTTCTACTGTGTCTTGTGGCAGTGGCTGGCATTGGGTTTATCTACACTATCATCAATAGCATTTTAAATAAGGTATGTATGTGGGATTCTTATAAGGTTTGATCCTTAATTATTTACCACATGTGGCCATCGAGGATTTGAAATGTGGTAGTGAGACCAAAGAAATAAAATTTTAAGCTAACTTAATTTTTTTTAAAGGAGAAAGTGATCCGATGACAAAGACTAATTTGCCAGATCCTTCAGTGTTTTTAAGTTAACAGTGAGAATGGTGTCCTTTAAAAATAGCTGTCATTTGGGACGGCGCCTGTGGCTCAAAAGGGTAGGGCGCTGGTCCCATATGCCGGAGGTGGAGGGTTCAAACTCAGCCCCGGCCAAAAAAAATAAATAAATAATAGCTGTCATTCTACAAGCCATTAATAATTGATTGAATTTTGTATTTTGCAGAATCTCTGAAGGGAAAAAATTTAAAATGGTTAATAGATGTATATACATACAAACTTACATAAAAATTCAAAAATAGTGTGTAGGTTTTCACTAAGGAAATGTCCACATTAAATTAATAAATATTTAATATTGGGGGTTTGACACTTGTTTTTGTGTTAATTGTAGGTAGAAGTTGGGGTAATAATTATTGAGTCTCTTGATATCATTACAATTACTGTGCCGCCTGCACTTCCTGCTGCAATGACCGCTGGTATTGTGTATGCTCAGAGAAGACTGAAGAAGATTGGTATTTTCTGTATTAGTCCCCAAAGGATAAATATCTGTGGACAGCTGAATCTCGTTTGCTTTGACAAGGTTGGTTCAGTTTCATAAGATCGCGGAAGATTACTTTGTAGCTTTTAAATATTTAGAGTAATCTTCCATCATCTTTGTCAACTAATTTGTATACATTATTTATTGTGCCTCTAATTTTCCTCCTCCTCCTCGTCCTCAATTAACATCATCAACAGGTTCTTGAAAACTGTGACTGTAAGCAAAATGAAGAATAATGAAACCCGTTTTACCATAGGCTAATTGATAGAAAAATAAGCTAAATTCCTGGGGCATATTTCTGGTTATCAAAACATCATCAAAGTTCTAAAAAAAGACCTAAAACTTCTGATATTAAACATTGAAATAAACGTGAGCTATACACACAAACCCGGCCCCAGCCAAATTGCAACAAAAAATAGCTGAGCATTGTGGCAGGTGCCTGTAGTCCCCACTACTTGGGAGGCTGAGGCAAGAGAGCCCAGGAATTGGAGGTTGCTGTGAGCTGTAACACAACAGCACTCTACCGAGGGCGATAAAGTGAAACTCTGTCTCTATAAAAAAAAGAAATATTAATAAAAACAGATAAGACAATCATTTACCCAGTGACCTTTTCAGGGCCACAAGTAGTCAGAGCCTAACCTGGCAGCTCAGGGTGCATCTATCTACCACGCTCTCCTACACCCACGCTCAGATTGGGACAGTTAGCCTACCGTTCACCTACCATGCACAGCTATGGGATGTTCCCATCTGGAGTAAAATACAGGAGAACATGCAAGCTACATAGAGACGGTGGCCCAGGCTAGAAATCAGATTTTTTTCCCCCTCATGCACAGTATGGCAAAATAACATTATTTGAGGACTTGCTGTATTTCTTATTTTCTCAATTTTTAATGCTTTGGATATTCCTCAAATTTGTAATAAATTATTCATATTCAGAATTTTGCGTTGTAGGAGTAGGAAATAGCAGTAGTAAAGATCATATGATCTTTCATGTTTATATTTTATTATTTGTTTTTTTGAGATAGTCTCACTCTGTCGCCCTGGGTAGAGTGCTGTGGTGTCACGGCTCACAGCAACCTCAAACTTTTGGGCTCAAGCAGTTCTCTTGCCTTAGCCTCCCAAGTAGCTGGGACCACAGGCACCTGCCACAATGCCCAGCTATTTTTTTGCTGAAGCTGTCATTGTTGTTTGGCAGTCCCAAGGAGGGCCCAAACCACCAGCCTTGGTGTATGTGGCCGGTATCCCAGCTGCTGAACTACGAGCGCCAAGCCATCTTTCATGTTTTTGGATAGTAATTCTTCCTTAACAGAAAAGGCTCCATACACATATTATTTTCTGTGATTTTATTGCTCTTAATTATGTATGTTTAGAGTCTGCTATATATATATATATATATTTTTTTTTTTTGAGACAGTTTCACTTTGTTTTCGTCAGTAGAGTGCTATGGTGTCTCAACTCATAGCAACCTCTAACTCCTGGGCTTAGGTGACTCTTCTTGCCTCAGCCTCCAGAATAGCTGGGAATACAGGCGCCCGCCACAGTGCCTGGGTATTTTTTGTTGCAGTTTGGCCGGGACCAGGTTTGAACCCGACACCCTCAGTATATGGGGCCAACACCCTACCCACTGAACCACAGGAGCTGCCCTGCTATGTGATTTTATTTAACATATATTTCAAAAATAAAACAGTCACCAATTTTATGGTTTTATGAAAAAATAACAAATCATGTGAAACATACTTTGTTACAAGAGTTTCTCCTTTCCTGAGCTAAAATTAGTTTTCCTGAAGTTTTACTTTAAGAATTAAATCTAGAGCAAACGATCTTCTATCATACTCTTAGTAACTGATGATAAGAGCTTGATTTTTCCCCCCTCGCCTTCTTCCCCTCTTGCTTAATCCTCCCCCACTTCTTTTCTCTTTTTTTTACAAACTATTTATAGTAATCCATTGCATTATATGCAGCATAGTTTTTAATGCTATGTGGTTGAGGGGGTTTGTTTTTTTTTTTTTTTTTTAGACTGGAACTCTTACTGAAGATGGTTTAGATCTTTGGGGGATTCAGCGAGTGGAAAATGCACGGTAAATAGTAGCTAGACTTGATGAGATTTATTAGTTGATTTTTAGTAAATATTTTAGCATGCAGCATTCAAACATGTAGAATGTACAGTGGACAACCGTGTATCTACCACTAAGGTTAAATAATTGACATTATGCCATATTTGCTTCATATTTCTTCTTTTAAAGGATTAAAATACTATATAAATTGCTAATGTCCCCATCTATCCCTTTAGTTATTTCTACCACCATTCTAAAGTTTTAAAAAATTTTGCCTATTTTATATTTTTACTACATGAGTGATTTATTAGTAGATATATGTGAGTGATATACTGTGATATCCTTTTTTCTCTCATAACATTGTTTTCAAGATTATTCATATTGATAGGTATGGTATAATTTATTAATATTAACTTCTTCATATTATTCCATTATATGATTAAACTATAATATCTGTTCTAATAAGGGACAGGTGTATTTTTTCTCCTCTTTTTCTCTGTACTTGCACAAATGGTGCTGTGATTAAAATTCTTCCATGCAGCTCCTGTGAGCATGCGGTTGCGTCTCTGTGAGCGTAAGGGCTAGGGCTGCATGGGTGCAGGTTCATCTTTACTTGGTAGTGCCTAACTGCACTGCCATGTAGGCGGCGGTGCTTCGTGTACTCTCCCCTTCAGTGGATAAAGATCTTTTTGACAAACAATATTGTTAGACTTGTAAATTTTGCCAAAATGGATGGATATAAAGTGGATATTTCATGCTGGCTTTATTTACATACCTCCTCATCGTTACTTATAAAGTTGAGTATCTTTTCACATTTTTGGAGGGGGAAGGGTTTTGAGCATCGTTCTGTGTATTGTCTGTTTATACTTTTTTTTTTATTGTATTGCTAAGTTTTTGTCTTATCCATTTGTTAGAAGTTCTATTTTCCAGGTAGTCATCTTTTTTAATACCATCTATTGAAAATGCATTGCATCAGTCTCTGGCTTATCTCTTTGTTTTTATTGCCTTTTGAAGCGCAGAAGTTTTGCTACTATAGTTGGGTTTATGTTCATTTTTCTCCCCTCAGAAGTCTACTAGAGTTTGGCTTATATAGTTTGAAAGACAGTATAGTCAGTGTAATTTCAAGAGTGTTACATTTTCTTGCTAAGTAGTATGTCACATTGTGACCTTATTTATCCTTGGTAACACATACTGCCTTAAATTCTCTTTCATCTACTTATTATTATTTTTTTTGAGACCGAGTCTCACTATGTCACCCTTGGTAGAGTGCTCACAGCTCACAGCAACCTCAAACTTTTAGGCTCAAGTGATTGTCTTGCCTCACTCTCCCAAGTAGCTAGGACTACAGGCACCCATCACAGCACCCAGCCATTTTTTGTTGCAGTTGTCATTGTTGTTTAACAGGCCCAGGCCAGGCTCGAACTCGCCAGCCCCAGTGTATGTGGCTGGCGCTGTAACCACAGAGCTACAGGCACTGAGCCACTTTCATCTAATATTAATATAGCTACACATCAGCTTTCTTTTGCCTAATGGTTGTGTAGCCTATCTGTTGCCACCTGTTTACTTTTCAGTCGCTATATGCTGTTGTCTTCACATTTATTCAGACATATTTGAAATTATTTCTGCCATTCCTCGTATCAAATTACATATATATTTTCTCATTCTCTCATTTCTGTCTCTCTTCTGAATTTATACATCCTGATCTTTTACTTTTTGTCCTTAAATTATTAATATTCATATGTAGAGTCTAAAGTTCATGGGTGTCAATACTGTCTTCCAAACCCCAAACCTATGGAATATAGAATACTTTCGATTATTCATTTCTTTTATGCACCATGATCTCCTTATACCTTTTTTTTTTTTTGTAGTTTTTGTCTGGGGCTGGGTTTGAACCCACCACCTCTGGCAAATGGGGCCGGCACCCTACTCCTTTGAGCCACAGGCGCTGTCCTCTCCTTAAACCTTTTATTATTGCTATGAGAAATCCTAGCCTCTTCAGTAATCTCTTTTCTCTTTGATATCCTTAAAACTTTATCCTTGATTTCTGCAGTTTATTTATTTTTTTTTTTTTGA